TTCCGAACCATCGCATAGAAGCAGTGACTTGACTGAACTAGTGTAGAAAATCCATTCAGATCTTGTTCACGCTTTATGCTGAGTGCAGTGCAGTGCAGTAAAGTGGAGTGGAGTAGATCTCCACACTGGTTTCAGGTTAATGAAGGAAGGCGTGTCTTGTTGTCTTTTGGGATCGTGGCTGCTTTGACGTCCTCATGTGTGCGGTGACTGCCGCCTGTAGTTGAAACGATGCTGCCTAGGTAGGTGTAGGTGAGGGATTACTTGCTTAAGTTTTCTCGCGTTGATGGTGATTGGTGCTTTTTGTTATTGGTTGGGTACCTTCATCACCTCTGTCTTCTCTACGTTTACGTGAATGAAATTCCGTCTTTGCTGTCCTGCCTGTTCTGTCAACTTGTTAGTTTTTGCCTGTAGATCTTCGAGTTTGTGCCACAAGACATTGGACATAAATCATCTTTGGTGAAGTCCAAATAATCTTGGGTCTTTTCACAGGTCAAGCAGCGTATACCCATCTTCTCACTCCTCAACGTTTGTTGCGTAATTCAGTCCACCTTAATTAGTAGGATCATTGGTGATGGTAGGCAGCCTTGTCTTATTTCTGTCTTCAGTTCAAAGGCGTCACTGAGCTTTCCATTGTGAGTCAATTGGCATCTAGCGTCGTCGTTGAATGAGACTGATAAAGGTTTGCGGCACTAAAATCATGGTGTTGAAGCAGTTTTAAGATTACTTCTCGGTCGACGCTGTCGAAGGCCTTCTCAAAGTCGATGAAGTTGAGGTGGAGAGTTGACTGCTATTCTACGCTCTGTTCTGTGGTGATGCGTAGCGTTGCACTTTGATACGTCTATGATTTGTACTTCCTTAATCCAGCCCTTTCCGGTCATTATTTTAAATCCAGCTCATCTTTCAGTCTCTCCAGGATGATTAGGCTTAATATTTTGCTTGAGGTGAACAGAAGCATGATTCGATGCCAGTTCTTGGAAAGACTTACATCTCCTTTCTTTAGAAGTTTAACAAGCTAGCCGTTCTTCGAATTGATAGCAGGTACCCTTCCTTCCTTCCTTTCAAACCTTCTGCAGTAGTGGTGTGGTGTGAGCGTGTCCGCTGTTGTTTCTGCGTCAGTTTTCAGTGCTTCTGGTGGAATTGCATCTGGTTCTACTGCCTTCCCGGATTTCAGCAACTTTACGGCGTTAAGGACTTCAGTTTTTGTCGGAGGGTTTGTGTTCACTGATAGTTTCGCGGTTGGGCTGCTGGTGGTATTTCTGGACAAGTTGCAGTTGGCGGTGGTGGAGTCGTCAGCCCATTATTTCCTTTTTGCTAACTAGGTTTCCTTAATTATCTCTCATTGGTTTCATCTGCGTTGATCTCTTCCTTCCCAGATAGTAACTTGGTTATTTGACATAATGTTGTCAGGTCTCTCTTACCTGCAGTCTGTTCTGCTTCACCTGCGAGTGTGCCGTAGGAGTGTCTTTTGTCTTTGCGCACACTCTTCTTCACTTCTTTATACATTGTACTCAGTTCCTCTTCTCGTCGTTCATCCTTGCACTGGACTAATTCACCTTCTGCTTCACCCTCATCATCTCCTCTGTTGGCTTCCGTGTTTCAGTGAAGATGCAATACGTGTCTTGCCTCTTCTTCCTCCCTAACATGGTTATGCAGGTTTCCTATTTTACGTCACTTTTAAAGAGTTCTAGTGTTCTTCTACGCAGGTTTCTTCGAGGAAGTTGCTCAATGTCTCCCATTTTTTCCTGATAGATGATATGAAGATGTCTTTTGAAGTTTCATGCTTCAGTTTCTGTTCTGGGTTTTGAACTTGAACTGTGGTCTATCACTAACTTCTTTGAAGGCTTCCAAATTGATTTATCAGGTAGGTTCCTTGTACTAGATAGTAATTGGTGTGAGCCTACATCTGCTCCCCATCTTGATCTTGTGTCCAGTAGCCTGCGACTCCACTTTCTTGATATTGATATGAAGCCGATCTGATTTTTTAGTGCGTCCATCTGGTGAAATCTATGTCACTTTGTGAATATCCTTGTGTTTGTACGCAGTGCCTTCAATCATCAAGTCATTAAATGCACAGAAGTCTGCAATATATATGTAGCGTCTGTTAGTCGATTAGAGGCGATCGGCAGGAAGGCGTAAGTGTCTACAACCTCAAGAGGAGTGATGTCCCATGTAAAGTTCGAAAACGCGTCATCCAGTATCGCAGTTAGTGACGTTACCAGTGAGCTACTTGGGCCGGGGTTGGCTTTCTGTGCGACTGGATCTAGCAAATTGATTGGTCGCTGGAGAGTAACCAATCTCATGTTGTCTATTCCTGAATGTTAGCCAAATTCCATCGACCATTTTACAATGTGGCCACCAAGCTAGGAGGCTCAGGATCTCCATTCATTTGGACTGATGTTTCTGACGGGTCCCAACAAGCACGATATCTCGGTCTAGGGTTTCCTGCTGATTGTCTCCAACCAACTAATATCTACCCAAGTGCACCGTAATGCTGAGCTGCCTAATCTGATCTATAGAATTCCGTCAGCATTTTGGAGTAAACAACAGAAAATTGGTTGCCCTCCAGTGACCAATCAATATATATTATGCTTGTTGATATTCTTGATTCATGACTACATTCTTAAACGGCATATAGGTACAAAAACGGTGAAGTGTGACGGATGTTGCACAAAGATTATTTTCGTTTCGTCAAAGATGATACAGAAAATATAGATTATACTTCTATTTCTTCTTCAAAGTTCATAATTCATTGAAGTATCTTGTCAAATTATTATTCTTATATTGCAACAATTACAAAAATAGGCATAAGAAAGGGGTGTTCATTCGTCTTATACGCAAACATGAACATAATTATAAGTATTAAGTTCTTAAAACAAACCAAATCGACGATGCTAATTTTATTTAATGGTAAGTCTCTCGCAGCGTCATGTTAAAATAACGTGAAAAACAGCCATGTATTAGGTAATTTAAACTTTAGTTTTAATACAAATCGTGATAAATAATTGACAGCTAATAGAAGACACGATTTATCAACCGTCTTATCATCTCATTAGTAGTGCAATTTTTTTGATTCAAAATAAAAATTAAAATGTTGTACGCCAATTAAACATCTATAATTATACGTTTAGTGTATTTAAAAAGCCTATCTGTAGGTATTTAAGTAAAACAACAAGAAATAACTTTGATTACTAACGGGAATATGTTGTCTTTGAGCAATGCTGATGATGATACCGATTCTGAACTATAAGGAAAGAAACGTTACCAAAAAATCAATTTAATGTGTGTGAAAGTCACCTATAAACGACACTGACCTTGAACTGGTTTTGGTTTCATTTAGAATTATCTTCAAAAGTAAAACAATTATTATCATTATAAATTACTGAATAATTGAATAGTTATTCTATTTCACTGGTCGGATAATTAAACTGAACTCCTTTTAGTTGCATAAAATAATTTAAATCCACTACCTAAAAAACGGTTGACAATAAATTCAGATCATACCAGAAGGCAAAATATTAATGACATATATGGTAATATTTTATTGATTATTCAAGGATTAGTGATACTATCAGAGATGGCTATTGTTTGTCTGCCTTCTACTAATGGCATGAAGTGATAATTGAAAGTGAAATGAAAACCTAGGTGATGGCGGGATGTGAACTGACCACTTTCTAAATACCGACTCAGTATTTTATTAACTGGATTACGAGATCCAGCTGCTAGAGAGGTTTTCATTCCAATTCAGACATAAAAAATCTTACCCGACAATCATGTGAATGTGTAGCATGTAATTGTTCGATCACTATCACAATCCCATCAGCTGATCAATCAATTTTTCTCCTGTTTTAATGTATCTAGTGTAAAACAAGTGACATAAATTAAATATTGAAGGATTAATTGATGACGATACTTGACTACGCAGCCAGGATTTTCAGATGAAAATGATTTTCTAAGTAAGAACGGGGCATCCTACACCTTCGCACTTATGTTTGTTATAACACAGAATGGTATGACACCAGGGGGGATTGTCTGTATATTTCGAAGACTGAATAATAAATGTTAAAATATTTAAACGAAGATAATGCAAGTGATAAAAACGGTTAGCGCTGTTGACCAAGTTTTTTCATCTGCACCTTTAACGAAAGTAGAGAGTATTGAATTCAGATCAGAAGAGCATCTTTTTACTGAAAATTTACCGATAATATACTAACTAAGCGAATAATAATTAACAGCTGGACTATCTGAAATGGCTGCCGTTTGGCAGACTTCTAATTTATTAGGTTATTATTGAAGGCGAAATGAAAATATGGGTCATGGAATGATACGGACCAGCGATCTCCAGGTTACTGGCAAGTGTTCTATCAGTTGAGCTACGAGACCCGACTGCTGACCAGATCTTTACTTCACTTTAATCACTAAGCGTTTTGGTCGACCGCACTGTGAATTCGTGAAACGCTACTATCGCTTTATCGTACCCACACTGCCTGCCTAGTCAGGACTTTTCATCCCAATCAAAAATTACTTGAATTGGAGAGAAGGAGTATCTTGTTGATTTTCAGTTTGACCATTTGAAGGGCTTGTATTGATACTGGGTGATGGTTGATGATGACATGAAACCTGTGCCACGGTACGGTTCGAGCCAGTGATGGACTTGGTTTTCTATCATCTAAGCTACAATTGAGGTGAAATCAAAATCTAGTCAGCAGCTAGGTCTTCTGGCTCGGCTGGGAGAGCACCGTTGCCGGTAGCTCGGATAGCGCTGGTTCGAATCTTGACACCGTCCTAGTCTTTATTTTATCTTGAATCATTATCTAGTATCAACAACGACAATAACAAAACGCATTTGAAGTTATTCAATTTTATTGCTGTAATTCTTTTAACCTATTGAGAATAGCTTTATATGGAAAAAGTTTATTTATTGAATAAACATTTTTCTACAGAGATATTCAATGCACAATTTGTAGTTTTCAGTTGTTTTCGTTTATTCTTTTTAATAACAGGAAATTTGTACATCGATGTGATTCATTAGATCAAGCAGAATTGCATTCATTAATGCTTAGTTCTCAGGCATTAATCAACTGTTCAAAAAGTGAGGGACAGTCTTTATCCATTATGGAGGTAAGTGTTATATCTGTATGGGTTACTAGCGGATCGCACCCCTTAACTAGTTGACTAATAACCATTATTTAGGTTTCTCTTGAAATGGACATTTTATATATAGATTGTTATCGAGGAAATATCAATTAAAATGGTATTTTCTCATGAAAATATAACCGAAAAAGTAATTTTATTATGCGGTCCTGAATGTAAACGGCACTTTGGTAAACAAGTCGCTGAACCAGAGAAAATAAGCCTAACTTAGGGTGTAGCGACGTAAAAGACAAAAATAGCCTTAGAATTTATCGAAAAGATGAATGAGTTAGTAAGCCATGTGGCTAAAAATTGTAATAATATGTCAGCCAGACCGAAAACGTTTTCAGATGTTGAAAGAAGATAAAAAGCACATGAGTAACAGTTTTGCAGATTCATCCTCATAAATCATAAGATGAAAGTCTACTTATCATATAGACTAGATCATTGCTAAGTTGCACAAAATGTACTTTCTTCCAGCCTCTGGTAACTACATGGGGAACATTCTCGTTATTCATGCATGTGGGAATGTATGAATGAAGTAAATAAATATGGTTATATAAATGAAAATGCTATTTAAAAAAGTTTTACCATGAGAATTGAGCTGAAAAATGAATACAGGTTAGAATAAGCATTCAGTATGCTTACTGGGTCTTACCTAACTTTCAGTGAATCAGTGAAATGAATTGAAAGAAAATCCTCTCGGTATTGATCTATTAATGACAAAAGTTAACTATTATTATTATTATTATTATTTGTCCCTTGGGTCCCTAACGGAACATAGAGCTTCAGTAGCACGTCTCCATTCCACTCTGTTCTCTGGAAACATTCGAACCTAACTTCACGACAGCCCACAAGCTCTCATTTCCTCCTCACACCATCTCATCCATGTCACCCTCACCTCCGACGCCAAACTCGTCGCTTCCCATCAGGGTTCCACTCGAGTGCCTGGCCTGACGCGTGATGTCCCCAGTCGGCCTTCTCAGTGTATGCCCAATCCATCTCCACTTCCTTCCAGTGCATATTTGTTCAGCGGTAGGTTCTTGGTTGGTTCGTTGTCAGCTAGAGTTGTGACAACATAAGTAGAAAGGAAATCAACACCTCTATTGTGATACCATACAAAGAAGGAACATCAGAAACCATAAGTAGGATTCTCAACAAGGTTGGAATTAGGGTGGCATTTAAACCAACAAACTCAGAGGTAAGCTTTGTCGGCTAAAAGATCCGATAGAACCAATTAGGCAAAATAATATAATCTACCAAATTCCATGTAATGACTGTGAAGTCAAATACATAGGTCAAACTAGCCGGTCGGGGTCAGTTAGATTAACAGAACATGGGAATTCAGCTAAACATAGAACGGCAGACCCCAATAAGATCAATAACCTAGAAAAACATTGCATTACATTCATTAACACACAACCACACAATAGGATGGGACAAAACCACTGTACTTAAGTCTAATATAGCTAGGTGGAGAGAGAGATTGACTACTGAATCTTTGTTCATCGAATCCACACCCAACACATGTAATAGGAATGACGCAACACCTATACCAGAGATATGGAAAACTTTACTACCAATCAAAAAACAAAAAAAACAAAGAGAGATCAGGTGACAGGACTATAAAATAAGATACCGAAAGAAGTGTGATTACATTGATATGATTATGAGCAATAATTTATGCTCGAAACGTAATCAATTAAATAATACTGTATCACTGTGCGCTTTATATCAAATAAACAAATCTAATATGGAACTACATTCTACCACAGTGCCCAAGTTTTTCACTTATATTCCTTGTTGCTTATTCTTATTATTCTGGCCATCTGATCTTCAGTAACGAGCCAGCGTAGGCAGCAGCTGTTGATGAATGTCTGTAGTTTGTTAGAAATGCCTTTCGTAAGGCACCAAGTCTCTGAGCCATATGGGAGCAGTGACTTGACTGATGTTGGTGTTGAAAATCCGGATCTTGTTCCACATGCTGAGTGCAGAAACAAAAGTTAACTACAAAACTTTATTCTCAAATATTGTATTGGTATACAGACTTCCATAATACAAAAATAGCCAATCAGCAAAAAAGAAATATTACTGAGAGTGTACAAAACACTCAGTTTCAAAACTGATAAGTCCATGAAAATGGTTTTACAAGCGAATTGTAAACTAAGGACAATTACAGATACTAAGGAGTTGAAAAACATATCGATAAATTGAACTAATAACTGAAGCGTCGAAACGACTTAGTCATAATCTTTTGTAACCAAAAAAAAGTAAGTACCGCATCTGCAGCGGTTAGTTACTCTTTTCACATCACAGAAGTGTAATGCATTGCGTGCTGAAATATTCGCAGTAGAAGGGTTTCTGCACATTCGAAGTGAAGGTCCCCGGGTGGATATCAAAGAAGATAGATCATGGCAATGATGGAAAAAAACTAGCAATATTTGACTCATAATTAGCTCTGAAAAACTTTCGTTTTATGGCAAAACATGTATATCTATGAACACTTCATCTACATATTAAACTGTGATTGTTGTTTTCATGAAGTTATTCATGCTGATCTGTGTATGTAGGCCATGTTTCTTGGAGTTCCTGTTGTGGTCAGAGCAAATCCAGGTAACTGTGACCTTGTCAAAGATCACGAAAATGGATTGGTATTTAAAACATCTAAGGTAAGTGTTAGTTGTTTATTATTTTCAAAGGGATATAAAGCTTAATTTTCCTCAATCTACTTGAGAAGCTAAATAACACGGCTTCATTTTATGTGAATGAGTTTTCAATCCGCTGAGATATTCTCTTGATTGTAAATCACAGTAAGCCTGTAGGGATTCTAAAATAAGATGTTGATTCCAGTTACAGAATTATTACATTAATAAGATCTCCTGGTACCTATTGAAGATATAGCTTTCATCAATTAGTTAATGTCAAGATAGTAGTCACATCTCCCTGTTTGTAGATAGTATTCTTCAATACAAGGGGGGTACGTACCCCTTTCATTGATAAGTGGTTAAAGAAACTTTAACTTCCCAACTGTCTTTGTCCACATGCTGGATAAGGAGGTAGAGGGAAGTCAATACTTGATGTAACTTCTACGAATTCCTTTTAACATAGGGTATAACAATTTCTTCGAAATATTAGAGGTACTACATTCTTGGAGACATTAAGTACTTCGTATTCAGAAATTTTCCCAGAAACTAACAAGAAAATGGTGTATCATATTTATAGGTTCCAAAATCATAGTTTGCTAGTGTTACTTTATTGGTATATGGTAAAAGTTGAAGATCTAAGGTTATTTTTCTAATGGATAAGTAAATCAAAACTTTATCGTACTTTGATCCCTAATTCTCGTGGCCTTTCGCATTTTTTTCATAACATAGTGGTAATTCAATCGAAAATTCATGTCATATAACTTTATGCTAACATGAATAACTAGTTTTGGAAAGGCATTTTAATGTCCCATAGAATGCTTGTAAAACACAATGAACATTTTTTCCTTTGTCATAGAACTACAGAGGATTTTTATAACTAGTCATTTATGTCTGCACATTAAAAGCTGATAATGCAGTAAAAGCATTTTAACAGTTTGAGAAAACATCAATTTACAATGGTCTTCTTCAATTTTTCAATAATGACCTACTCATAATATTTTTCTCAACTATCGGTTATTTTTAGTACAATATTATCAATAAGGTACACTAGTGCTGTAAGATTTTATTATGTTTCTTGTTGAAAATTAGCTATATTTCGGGAGAAATCCGTTCATCATATCTAATTCTATATCCTACTTAAGAGGTTTGCTTTGAATTCATCATGAGAAATTTTAATTACTGTAACCACTAAACTCTGTATTGTTTCTCAACAATTATTATTTCAGAATTATTTAAAGTCTTATGGATTGTCAAATTTTGACAATATCAATGACTTCACCAGATCATATTTCATGTAATGTGTTGCAGTTTTCATACGTGTTACTATATTGTTGTGATCTTACATGGATGTTAAAATACACTAACCTTCTAAACTGTTGATGCAGCATATTATTTAGAAACTCTGAAGTTGTTGGAAAATGTCATGTTTTCTGAGAAGTTCTATTTATCCATAACCATTATTCCCATTACTAGACTTAACATTCACCTACAATTCGACTTATTTAATCGAAAATCGCTCTACTCATAATCATATCATAGTCAATGATGTAAATTACTATTTCATTTGTGCCATATTGCATATTATAAGCATAATGTACTCTTAGTCTGTATTTGCGCCTATAAAAGTTGCTGCATTTCCCCTTGTTTTGTCTTTGTAGCAATCATGAGTAGTTGAGACAGTACTGATTAGCGTACTTGATGATCATTAAAAAAAAGCATAACTCTTTCGTAACATTTATTCACTCATGAACAACTATCGATTGAAGTAACCTTAAAGTAGAATTGAATTTTGCATACCAATTCTGAGCTTCATAAGATAACCTGAAGTTATTCAAGCTAATACTTGTATAATAATTATCATATATCGTGATTAATCCGTATTCGCGTTAATGTCTACATTGTCAAACATTTTTCCTGTGACAAGAACTGCAATACAGTGACGTATAATCCATCAAATTGTTAAGATCAATAACTAAGTACTTTATAACTTGTTGCTGCAACAACATTTCGGTGTTCTATCAGTTCAGGGTGAATTTGCCTCCATTTTATCACTCCTAGGTTTATGCATTAGACGATTTAGTGAACTAAGTTAGTGAAACAGCAAAAATTCAAGTTGTGATTAGGTATTTGTAAGAGCGGACTAATTTTACACTTGGTTAGAAAATTAACCCGAAATGATGTAATTTAAAAGTAAATTTGTGTAATCGATTAGAGAGTGGACTGCAGTTGGCTAATATGTACAAGACGTCTAATAGAGACTCATCATCGATATCTTAACAGTTTACTTACCAGCTGATTGGTTAGAAAAAAAAACAAAAGATTTCAATTATTCAAACCGTTTAAAAATAATGCTAACAAGTAGTGCAATCAACGTTTCAGTTTAGGCAACTGAATAGTATTATGGCCTAGCACATAAAAACTTGTCTGCAATGATTTGAATTATCTGTTACTTATTTCCATAAAGAAAAAATTCAGTATTAAATGTTTAATGTATGTGTTTTATTTATTTAGGAATTCGGAGAGTGCTTAAACAGCCTAGAATCTAATCCACAGTTGAAAGAACAATTGATCTCTTCGGGTGAAATTTTTATGGGAAGCAAAGAATTTCAATGGGAACATCAGGCAAAACTATATTCACACATAATTCAACAATATTTCCATTCTAATTTATAATCAAACAATAGGATAAAACTGCTCAGTCAACAAAATCCAATACTACTTTCCTATTCTAATTTTGATTGACAACCATCGATTTATACAAATATTTTCTTTATAAAAATACTACTAATAATGACCTAAATAAATTGTCATCTGTTTAACATTCAACTGCTTTATCTTTGAGTGAAGCGGTAGGTTTAGTTAAACAGATAAAATGAATAATTCTCTACAACCTGCTTTTCGTAAGACAGCTACGGATACAGAAACGTATGTACTTTTACAGACACGAAGAAAAATTAGTATCAAATTAGTGTAACTTACATCAGACAACTAACAATTACCTAATCTAAACTATACAACTTTTGAAAATAAGGTTTTGTTGATATGATCTATTCATAAGCAACCAGTTACCATTTATTTATGACTGTAATCTAGACTCTTTCCAGGTAAACAAGACCAACTAAAAATTAGACACTTACAATTTGTTAGAGTTAATACAGATTTCACAACTATGTTACTATTCATAGTGTGATTAGTGCTAGAGAAGACTAAGTGTGAATTTAAAGAGTAATTTTCTTCGAAACTGACTGTTAAGTTTCATTCTAAGAGCATTTCATACCATAAGCTACTCAGTTATCTGTCATTGGGAATAAGAGACCTATAGATAATATACACGTGCATGCATATCCACAGAGTACACTAATACAGACAAAAAATTACTAAAAGATATCCTATGTTAGCGATTCTTAGTAACCAGTTGCATTGCCACAGTAGGAAAAATGGTTAAAAAAAATTATTTAAAATACCATATAAAACTAGCGAAAATGTATTTTGACCGTAGTTCCAGTTAGTAGTAGTAATAAGGTCTCCGTCTAATTCGAAGGACAAATTAAAAACAGGTCCAGGCGAAAAATTAAGAGGTTACTCGATAATCATGCGAACCGATCAAGATAATAAACGATGCAGTCCTTGACTCGAGTACATACATGAGCCAAATCCTCGGAGAGCATACATTGGGCATTACGGGTTAATTAAAACCTTTATCCAGAAGCAGTTAGTAACCTGTTTTTAAACATAATTAAAATTCAATTCAACCTCATCATAACTAATTGAGTCTTTGTAGTGACCGTGAGTAGTAGTATATGATGAAGGCAACAAAAAAATGATAGAGAAAGGAATGACAGTAGGTGACAAGTAAACAAATATTTAGGGTGATTACAAAGACCGACCGACCGACAGCTGTTACCTCGGTGCAGTGGTCGGGTTTGCATATCACAATGGTCCAACGATCAGTACTGGCTGGAATGTTCGTTTCTTGTAATAGGACTACTCCTGAAAGATCTGTCCGATAGCGTAAATTACCACGCCTTGGCTTTCGAGGTCGAAGTTATACTGCTAGCTGGATCCAGTATGACAGCAGTAGGGTAGTTTCCCTTGGATAACCAGCAGTATCATACACACGCTGCCTTCCTCGTCAGAAAGGGGGGTTAAAAAAGGGTGACCCAAAAAATAACACACTCTTCCCTGCTCACAGCTTTCCGATGAGAGCGGTATGGATCCTCTCTTGCTGGCGTTACAACAATCGAATCTCATACCAACAATCTCAAAAAGACTGCGTGTGACAAGCCTAAAACAGACGTCCCATAGGCTCCGCGGTTACACAAATCTTCTCTTTCAGGTAGCCTGTAGAAGCAACTTTCCCGGTGTAGGAAGTCTGGAAGTGCCAACCATTTACACGCTTCCAGTAGTTTACAGAACCCAATCAAAAATAACCTATCCTCGTCAATTTTGTCTCCTCCTTTTCCATCCACTCCTGATACTGTCAAACCACTAATAGCTTACTTAAGCTCTCACTCTGTGACCATTGCCAATAGTCTAAGCTATGGAAACCCCATTCATAGTCACTGAGGACCCCAATGTCAGTCACACATAAGATCATTCAAACTCCGAGTTCTATGCCAAGTCGGACAGCAGGCATCGTTTGCCAGGACTCTAGGATCTCAAGCTTTAGATGTTTGCTGTATTCATAAGACATGTATACGGGACCTGAGTGAGTCTATTAAGTTGATCTCACTTGGCAATTGAGAGGAATCTTCAAAACTCATCGTAGACTCAATGACTAGCTCTCGTAGACTCACTGGTGTAGGTTGACATAGCACATTTATCGAGAAAAAATTCCACTTGTCGACTAGATACTAGTCAGCAGCCCTCTGTGCGCTGTTCGATTGAATGTATTTGTAAAAATGAGAAAACGATTGCAGCGAAAAGGAAATTATTTTTGTCGGCGAAATCATTCTCCTGGTTGTACATTCTTCAATGTATAATAGAAACGGTGAAACATTCCACAATAATTTCCGGTTAAAGGTCAAAACAAGTTAAATAATAGAAGGTTACGTAACAATAGCCGCTCAAAATAGGGAAATAAAGAGACTACAAAAGACAGCTATATCATAAGCGAGTGATCAATCTCTTACGATGGTCATGGTAAAGGAAGAGGTTGTACTTACTTCTTTTGAATGTATGAGTTTTAATTTTTGGATTGCCAATGCTTTAGTTGTACCAAACTTACTTCATTTTGGGTGATCTGGTCTCACTTTATACAGTTTTACGGACTTACAGAAAAGAAATAAGTACCCTGGGTTTACTAAGTGTTGTTACAAAGCTGAAAATGGATTTCTATCGTTTTTTATACGTCAGGCTGGGTGTTGTCCATGAGGGCGTTTCACAAGCTGGTAAATGGTACGGTCAATGTACTCGGTCCTATAGGAGCAAGTAAGTAGACATACAAATAATGTGGCCCAATATTCCAGCTTATCCTTCGCGTACTGAGAGAATTCGATTCTAAAACTGCAGGCCAAAACGTTTTGATGGATTTTGATAGTCGCTTTCTAGGTATATCTGTCGCATTATCACCCTTGAATTCGAGCTTCAGATGTACAACGTTTTTCAAAGTAAGATCTAAGCACTCCGCGATAACTTTCAGCTTTGAATTCTCATGTATAAATACAAGCCGGTATCCATTTTTCATCAGGATTTCTTGCAAGTTCTTTAGTTCACCATCGATGGTATCCTCAATACATACTTTTGAGGAAAGTGAGTTGATAAGATTCCTCTTTCCGCTTAAGAGAACATAACCGTCTGATTCAAGTGGGCTTTCTGTAACACAGATCTCTAAGACCTAAGAAGGATCGTGAGGCTAGCTGATGCGCATTCGTAATCTCTGTTTAAGCGCCCACCTACTGCAGTGCCGATTAATTCTAGCAAAAATAATACATAAAGCGAAAAGTTTACATGTAGTCATAATAGCAGGCAATTTCAACCCTCAAGTAGGAAAACTTGGTCAGACAGAAAGGCATCTTTCAGGTATTTGAGGAATCCCATGCCAACGAACCGACAATCGTGATCGTCTGTTGTAATTCTGTCCTAACAATCATTTGTTACTAGTCAGCACTAACTTCAAGTATAGGGAGAGATTGTCTCACATGGTGTCCACCAACATCAAACCAACGATCGACACAGATCAATCATTTTGCTATAAACCATAGTTGGAGCATTGGCAGAAGACGATCGTCTCTTCTGAAGTACCTGCTTGGACTTCGACAACGCATTAGTGCAGGCTCATGTATTTCTGCGCTTCATTGCTCTCAGAAAGAAGACGGCAATTAGGCCAATGGGCACTCAATTGAAAGATGATAAAATCAAGTACGTATTTACGAAGATCTCTAAGCACTTATCTGAACATGACAACAATCCTTATCCTAAGGTAATCTGGAGTGATATTCAGTTCGTTGCAGAAAAAGCGATAAAGGCGGTTGGTAACCTACATCCAAAGGTTAGCGAATGTCAGTGCATTTCCTCAAACGTATCCGAAATGATTGACTCGAGAAGACTCATTTTAGCTTGGTCTGATCACAGTGAAGAGCAAAAGCAACCTAGACGTAAATTGGCCAAGTCTTTAAAATGATGGCGAGTAGTGATGGGTGGTAAAAGCTAGGAAGATGGAGAGGGCATCAGTATTAGATAACGACCGGCAACTTTTAGATGCACTAAAGATACCCGCAAGAAGAAAACGGTTACTGAAACTATTATCCAAAACTTTGGGAAGTCGGGTGGCTGGAACGATTGGTGAAACACTTTGAAGCACAGTTCAACTGGTTCATAGCCACACTTCAGCTGGCTAACATCCAGCCTGAAGCTAAATTGGATGTAGATGTCGGTCCTCCGATTCCCCTTGAAGTTGAGAAGGCTGTTTACAAAGTGGAACGATGCAAAGAAGCAGGATCTGAGGGTTTGCCACCCGACAATTCTAAGAATGGAGATAGGAAACTGCTGACTGGAGTAACAGAGGTAATATGTAGCGCATGAATATCAGAGGTAGTGGCGTCAGTCTAGTCTATTCCACTGACCAATCCAGCCTATATTGGAGAGAAGTGTTTGTGACAACCGAGAGGTGACTAGTTTAACTAACACAGTGTTCAAGTTCTGTGGATCCATAATAATCTGACGCCTAACTAGAGCTGGAGAGTCCCAAACCCGACAAAAACAGGGGTTTCAGGTCTGAATGAGGGTTATCGACCAAATCTTTACCCTTCGATAGGTTTTTGAAAAACAAGAATCCTAACCGGGTGTCGGAACTAATCATATTTCTCAACCTGAAAGCGGCAATCCACCGTGAGTTGTAGTAGTGAAAAGAGTGCGGAACAAGTAGACAGCCCTAATCGAAGCTCTCTACACGAATTCCTGCAGCCGTGCAAAGGTCTATGGAGGGTTGCAATTTGAAGCGAAGACGACTACTGGTTTCTGATGCCACCAACTGTTTTACTTCTTTAGAGATATTTCAATGGATATAACCTTAAGTACTTCTACTTCACACTGACTGACCTAATCCCTGAAGAGCATCTGATTGACTTGGAGTACACAGATGACATTGTCCTGCTAGATGAAAACAATGAAAAAATGCAGGGGGCTTCCAAATATTTAGAGCAGAAATCTGAGTCTGTTTGACAAGCGTGCGTCAATCACTTCACTCACTTGGGGAGTTGTATAAGCTCGAACGAACTGGTTGCCGATGAAATATTAGCTTAGATACAGGTCCATTTAGCATTTGCTAACGTGAGTCATCTGCGGCGCCAACCGGCGAAATATTCGACTATCTAACAAAGGACGAGTATACTGCGCTCCAGTCCGTTCTGTACTGTTATAAGACTGAGAGAGATGACCGTTGGAAGTAGATATGAAGCGAATACAGGTCTTCGGTCACGGGTTTCTTAGTAGAAATGCTCACATATGGTGGAATCATCATCAGCGCAATAGTGCAGATGTCTCCTATAGCTTGAATATAGTCATTAACCTTTATCTTCAAATTGTTCCTACCATAAACTCTCGTCTACTTCGATATCAGTCTTTTCCTATCCACTTGTTCTTTGCATGATACTTTAAACAGTGATAACCTGAGCCGATCCTCTTTTGTGAGTTCTGACAGCTGAAGTAAGGTCACTGAAGTTGCAAGACATTGAATCAAAGGTTTCAAACAGAGCTTTGAAGATGGAAGCGATTATAGACAATTCGTAAACCCAAAGAATGAAATCTAATACAACCACATAACGCACACTCTGCTCCGTCAAAGATGCATATCAAAGACTGAACTAATTTTATCATTTACGTATGTTAGCGCAAATTTATTGGATCAAGCAGTTCCTATGTAATTGGATGAAATATATATATATATATATATATATATATATATATATATATATATATATATATATATATATATATATATCAGCATGAACACCAGAGAAAATACGAGCATGCAGTCGTTGCTTCAACAAATGAAATCAAGCAAATCGATGATAAATAGAAGTATGATACTCATAACAAACACTTTCCTTACACAGCATTCATTTGAATAAAAGTATACCGAGAATAAAATTATTAAAAAAATACCGTATTAACAAGTTAAGAATTTACAAGGTTTAAAAATACAAGAGAAACTGGAGTTCAGGTTAACTTGACTTCCTCGAAGTACACAGAAACCATGACCTAGAATACTTTTACAGGGAACTTGAAAATACTGACAAAAGGACCGGGATTAAAAGATTTGCATTAAACTGAATTATTAATTTGAAATGCATGAAAGGACAATTAAAGTAAACTTTGTAGTGAATATAAGATTAATTATTCATGAAATTGTTAGAGAGCAGTACCGACCAATGTATACACTATAGATCATCTTTAAAAACAGTTCTTTGTACAACAAATAAAAAGTGCCAAATGAACTTCCAAATCAGTAAAAATATGCAACTCCAGTATATTACTTACTGTACATTCGATTAAGGTTTCAAGAAAATGAGGTAAGTTGGTAAAAAATATGCGTTGCACACGCACACGATATAGACACATTGAGTAAATAATGTATTACGTGGTCGTCTCTTTGGAAGCCTAGATAACCAGCTTTTATGACGAATATATACTCGCAAACTATTTTATTTACAAAATTTAAAATGATATTGTGGAGGCAGAAAACAGAAGTTATGGACTGACCATCCAGATAAAGTGAAGGCAGACAAAAGAAAATCTGTACAGAAATGCTTGAAGGACTCAAATTTAAAAACTAAGTATTGTGAGATTATCGAATATCAATGCAGCAGTCTACGAATCCAGGTAACGAAAGTGAAAATAATTGCATTTCGCATGAGAATATAGGTTCTAAGTAATACAGTTAATCTCTTCGAAATAAAATCAGTAGTCTACGGTGCAAAATAAAATGACCAGATCATCTTTCAAGTGTAAATATCAACATACAGTCCCATTACTATTTGTTGTTGGTGGGTTATTTCTCGAATTCGTCCTGTGTCGAACACAATCCAGCTTAGTGAGATTTAATTGGGCTTGAAGACTGTCACGGATGCGGAAGAGCGTTTGCTCTACAGTTTCAACAACATCAGGACAGTAAAAAAAACTCTCATTTTCCTTAGAATGTTTCGAGGGGTGTTTGGATATTGAACAGGAAATCTTTCTTGTATTCATGAAACAATTATCAGCAACTCGGTGACGCCATGGCGAGGAGCTATGTCTTTCTCGTTCAAATGATCGAGTCTCCTGCCACATGCGTATCTCATTATCTCGCTTAATGAAATATTCTAGGGAACTAGTTAAATGGGTTGGATTATCTTCCAATTTCTTCTCAGAATTATAACATGGAGCGACTGGACTACTCGAGGATGCTTGGTGTCCAGAAAATGAAGGCATAGGTGGAGGTGGTGGAGGTACAGTCCCAGTAGAAACTACCACGTTACGGAGGTGTTTATATTGATCAGTTTTAACTGTCTTCTTATCATAATGAATTGGTCTATTAAGATGTACTGTTCTGTTGCCAACAGATGAATGGGATGAAGGGTCAAGATGCTCATGACTTGCAACCTGCGAAACAGCACCATCCTGGAAAAAACGACAAGGGTAATATTTCAAAATTCAATGTAAAACAAGACTTAGTACACTGATATTTATACTATAAACACAGATTCGACAAAGTGTAACGAGTAACCTTAAAACAAGACTATAGATAGCAGGAATATTGCCGGAATATTGCAGGAATATTACTGATAATTCCTATCAGCTTGGAGATAAATGATTCACGAATATCATTGAATTGAATTCTTTCAAGGTATTCTAGTTGGCAGCTTTTCCTATAATATTTGATGAACTCCAAGATTAACATAAAGAATGTATGGAATGATGAGTTCTATAGGTGGCTAAAACCTATATGAATTCCCAATTTCTTTCACTTTACAACTAAGAGAAGACGCTGCATAAATGATTTAGTAAATGTACAGTGCTTCCACAACTAGTGGTCACTGTCCTCCAAAAAGTATTTCGTATTCCCCATACAACGATGGAGAGAGTTGTATGACAAAAAAATTTAATACCCTGGAATCCATAAAAATTACTGGTTAGAGGAAACTTGTTTTTCAACACTTAGTCTACTAATGTTTATAATCTCAAATCAGATAAAAAGGAATGCAAAACAGGATCTTCATTGTCATAATAAACTTACATGATCAAATTCTTTGGTATGATAAACACCATATAAAAAGTGTTCACGTTCAAGAGGTTCTGAAGCATTAAACAACACATCATTTGGTAAATAGTATTCGGAAAATCTGTTGGGATTCGTACTAGGTGGTGAACTATTTCTGAAAGGTGGTTTATGTGAGACTATACGAGAATCTGAAGACATGGAAGCTGATGAACTATGGGCAGAAAGTACTTTACCAGAAAATTTTATATATGGTTCAGGTGAGCTGCTCAAAGCACCTCTACTAACATAATTGACAGAATCCACTGCTCCGATATCTTCATCATCGTCATCATCTGGCGGTTCACTTGGAGTTCGAGGTCCACGTTCATTCACTTTCAAACCAATGAAATTCTGTTTATCATCAATATCAGACATTTTAATCGCTTGAGAGTAGGATGTTTCGGATATACTACTATCGTGAAAATCTGATTGTGTGTTCAGTGGTGTTATTTGTTTTAGAAATGTATCAGTGTTTTTCACGTCTAAGGATGTCTTAGATTCATTGTGAATATCTGGTAATGTCACGAGTAGTCGGTTAGGACTAAGCAGTACAGGCGGGATAATTATTTCCAAATTATCAATGTTTGAATTCGATTGATTGACCAATTCTTTAGTTTCTTTGTGATTTCGTACTGGAGCAGGTGTAAAAGCAGGTAAGCCACGACGCCGACGGTATTCTGAAAGCGAAACACGAACTTTGCGTATTTCCTGCAACCGCAACTCTTCAGACTGTTGTTTTACGGTGGCTTTCTTGGGTGGGAGCTAGGAAGACAAAACAAAGTAAGTAATTTAAATATAGCACACAAGTTCATAGACGAACAGTTGGTAGTAAACAACAACAACACCGTAAGTGTTATAAAAACAACGAATCAAGTGTGAGGAAACAGTAAGAAATTCGAGATTTTAAATACAGCAGTAAAAATTAAAGGCAGAGGATGATGAAATCTGTCAACTGGTAGAGATTCATGGTGTTTCGCGCCGTGATGAAAACACCAAAAATAAAGCGACCTTAAGTCGCAGCTCAAAAAACGCGATGTATCTAAACCACATACACCCAGAAATAAGCTCATAAACAGATAAGAGAACTACAAATTCGGGAAAGCTTTAGCCATTTTCCGAGCAGCTGCTTCATAACAATGTAATATGGCTTCATTTAAACTGTTATAACTAGTCTATCCATGAGTAACGCAATGCGTACAAAAACACTAAACATCTGTATGCAGAAAATAATTTAAGGTGACTCTGACGCTTACATCAATAATAACTGAAAGGTGATGGTTGTACCATCCTATCATGGCAATTCGTAAAGTTTACAAAGAATCTAAGACATATAAAGACCTACGAAGCCACAAAGAAATATATATTCAGTATAAACAGCAAAGATCACAACTTTCTATTCTGAGACATCAAATAAAATTTCGAACCACTGAATCATAATATTTTCCTGACAAGCATGTACAAACATATGCAGCCCACGACCTCAATACCTGCCAACTAGTACGTCTGTTGTAACCAATTGCAGAAGTAGTGAACAACAAACACTGGAGAAGCTACTGAAACGGCATTTCTATTGTATGTTAAAGCTTTCGACAGACAGAAATAGGCTTAATCAAAGCAGAACTGTCTACACAATTGCACCGACTTAAGTTGCCACACTTCACTGTAATATATAAAGAACAGATAAATAGAAAATAGAAAAGTAGACAAAGCTGTGTGAGACGGTAAACAATACGAGGATAACGGTTAGTGCAAATATCCAAGCTTTAGAAAATGGAAAGGAGTGAATACGTCTGCAACATTGTGACCGATTTTCAGCCACGTCACCAAGATTCCTCAACCACTGATACCTATGGTCTCGGAGGTCCAGCCAGCCAGGTAGTCTATATCTGCCTTACACTACTCAGACCAACAGTCAGAGACTTCAACGACTAGTGCTGCATCTTAGTTTGCTGACCTTGAACACTCCCCCTCCAACTTAATCAGATGTCGAGGGAGGTGGTGGCTCGGCATGCGCAGTACATGTCCAAGTCACCTCAGTCGATGAAGGTTCACAGCCTCATCAATCGACTTACCTGTCTTGCTGACTACCCCTCCCCTAATCTTAATATTGCCCACACGGTGATTCCATCAAACGTAAGCAATGCTATGAAGATACCCTGTAACTGCCTCATGTCTTCTACTTTTAATCGTCATGTCACCCAGCCGTATAACAACACTACAGAACGGACTGTTGCTGCAGTATACTCGTCCTTTAATAGATAGTCGGATATCTCGTCATTCGGCGCCAGAGTTAACGATAGTTCGTAAATACCGAACGGGACTTCTGTATCCGAGCTTAGATTTCGTCAACAAGCAGTTCGTTTGAGCTGATGCAACTCCCGAAGGCGTTCGAGGCTGGTGCCTCAAGATGGCTTTGGTTCATGAGTGAGGATGCAAAGAGAAATTATCACAAATGTGTTTATGAGTGAGTCAACCAGATCTTCACTCTCCATCAGGTTCTGGAACGCATACACACTTACCGACGTCTACCACCGGCTATATTTCTCAAGGTATCATCCGACTACGTCAATCGATAGGCTTTATTGTTTCTCACTGAAAGGAGTGCCCTGTAATTGCATCACCCAGCTGAACTTTGTACTTAAACACGTGGGTGTGTCAGAGCCAATGATGAGTTACGTTACATCCAATAATATCAGTCAAAGAAGTTCATTCTCCATTCTTAGTCAACAAGACTGTCTATTAGTCTTCGACAAGCCCTTATCAGCGATTGTAGGGATAGATCTTATAGACGTCTTTAACTTTTACCCACAGTAAATCTACTTCCCTTAAGTATTCTTATTAGAAAATACCCATTGGCAGTTTTTATTCATGTCAAAGTGGTATGCATTGCAAAACTAACGGTTCTATCTTCAAACCATAAAAACGTTTGTAAGTGAAAAACCCGTGTTTCAGAAAATTAATCCGTCTGAAAATCCATAATAATTCGAAAAACAGTTCTGTGAACACAAAATTCATCCTGATAAATTTCTTTTATGTTCTACAGTAATAAATCTGTATTTATTTGGTTGAATAGTCGAAGTTGAAATGCACTCAGCAACCTTATGCACGTTCGTGCAGTGGACAATGAGCCACACTTATATGAGGGTTAACACTACCTGGGTGCCTAAATTGTAATAAGCAGAGAGGTGTTAGAACTCGCGACCCGTCGGTTGGAAGTCGACAGCCCAAACCAATGAACCACAAAATACAAGTAGATTAACAGTTTGATTCTGATGAAATCTTTATTTAACCAGAGGATTCTATTCAAGGAGGTAAACGTCAGAGTCAACCTCAGGATGAAACATTAAGGTAATCACGTTCGACAAATATGCATGTGATCATATGCTTGATATAAAACTAGATGTTCTTTAGCCGATTGAAGACAAAACTGAAGAACCTAGGAAAGAATTTATCGAGTAGAATAATCTTTGGTCCTTAACTGTCTTGAAATTAAGCTTATTAGGTGATTTTTTTGCTATACCTCATAAATCTATTTTGAAGAATTAGGGTCATGAAAACTTGAAAGTTTACTTATACACAAAAGTTTAACGATTTACTATCTACTTACAGGAGTAGAATGAGACGACAATGCTTCAGGAGACTCGTCATCTTCTTGTACCTCAGAAACATCTTCACAATCTTGGTTACAAATCACCGGGATATCGTCCGAATCCTTGTTTGAAAGCTCCGGTGAGGATTTGAAGTTCTCAGTTCGAGGATTCTCGTCATTCTCATTGTTACAGTGATCAGGTGGGTCATCTGGGAGCTCTGAAAGTCGATAAATCATTCGTTTTTTGGGGTTAACAGGTGTGAGACACATATTTTGAACGCCCATCGAAGAAACTGGCACGGAAACAGATGTATTGTTGATTGGCTGGGAACAGCTCAACGTTTGGTGGTTAGACGATTCCACATCCTCCTCCATAAGAGCCTGTACAATTAGCAAAAAGAAATAGTAATAAATAAACTAAGTACTGTGTAGGATTTGAATCAAACCATTCCTTATTATCCGTTCAGAAGCTTTTTATGTTTTACAACTCAGATATCGATATAAGTATTCGAAACGGTTAAACTGCAGCTTTTTTAATAGAATAAATACAAGTACACTGTGAGAACAAATCGTTGCTTATACATGTTTTGATTTTGATGTCTCATGAATACTTCAATTTTCTCAAGTATGGAACAACTGTATACCTACCAGAATCCAACATATTTCCTTGTGTATAAGCCACACGAAATCAGTAGAGGATTTCTGGTATTGTATCTTATAAAAAATGGTGTCTGGTAAATACATCCCATTATCAAAGGTTAGAGACACGAATAAGCATGGCAATTTCAAAGTCTTTCGTTTGATACTGCTGCTTCAATTTATGTTAGTCAGCGATATCTATATTTAACTTGAAATGCTAAAATTAAAATTATTCCTTCAGTTTATGAATGATTGATCTTCTTGCCAGACTTGAATCAGCTAAAAGCACATGATGATACACATCTGAACGGAATTTTGAGGGATATAGTTCAAAAGTAATCAAGACAGCTACCATACATTTAAGCTTTTTACCTGTACAGCTGATAATATTACTGAATTCCCATTACTCCTCTTCTAGTTGCTTACACACTGCTGATATCATTACTTTTCATTTGGTTAGTCTCCTTTTGATTTTCTTTTGCTGTGATCATTTTAATGGCTGACAAAATGGAACGATGAATTACTCCTACAGGTCTTACTCTTTTTTGTCTGTGACTTGCACTTACTCATATTCATATCAAAACAGTTGACTAATGGATTACAACAGCCTATATGATAGTATAAATAAACAATGATTTAATGAAATCGAACTCAGATATCCTAAGATGTTTTGAAATCAGTCTGCATAACAAAAATACAAGAATAACTAATGACTGTTGACACTCATACCAACGTTTAATAAACTGTAAAAGAACACTAAGGATTATCTACGAGATAATTTGACGAAAAAATGTTTTACCACATCACCTGAAAATCTAAATCACACTAACTGGTGATCAAATCAAGAAGCGTAACCTTAAGTACGTCTGACTTCATAGGGATTGATCTACTCTCTGAAGACCATCCGGTTGACATGGAGTATCCAGATGATAATGTTTTGATGGGTGAAAACGACAACAAAATCCAAGAACTTCTGAAAGCGTTGGTGAGACATCTGACCATGTTTGGCATGCGTTTCGAACTCGTCAAATGTAAGACCATACATCAGGACCGGTCTGAAATCACTTCCAGTTTGATGATAGGGAGTGAAGTGGTGGAAAGTCTTCACTACTTCATTTCCTTGGGGAGTTGCATCAGCTCAAACGAACTGCTTGTTGACGAAATCTAAGCTCGGATACAGAAGTCCCGTTCGGTATTTACGAACTATCGTTAACTCTGGCGCCGAATGACGAGATATCCGACTATCTATTAAAGGACGAGTATACTGCAGCAACAGTCCGTTCTGTAGTGTTGTTATACGGCTGGGTGACATGACGATTAAAAGTAGAAGACATGAGGCAGTTACAGGGTATCTTCATAGCATTGCTTACGTTTGATGGAATCACCGTGTGGGCAATATTAAGATTAGGGGAGGGGTAGTCAGCAAGACAGGTAAGTCGATTGATGAGGCTGTGAACCTTCATCGACTGAGGTGACTTGGACATGTACTGCGCATGCCGAGCCACCACCTCCCTCGACATCTGATTAAGTTGGAGGGGGAGTGTTCAAGGTCAGCAAACTAAGATGCAGCACTAGTCGTTGAAGTCTCTGACTGTTGGTCTGAGTAGTGTAAGGCAGATATAGACTACCTGGCTGGTTGGACCTCCGAGACCATAGGTATCAGTGGTTGAGGAATCTTGGTGACGTGGCTGAAAATCGGTCACAATGTTGCAGACGTATTCACTCCTTTCCATTTTCTAAAGCTTGGATATTTGCACTAACCGTTATCCTCGTATTGTTTACCATCTCACACAGCTTTGTCTACTTTTCTATTTTCTATTTATCTGTTCTTTATATATTACAGTGAAGTGTGGCAACTTAAGTCGGTGCACTTGTCGGCGAGGTTTTACGTTGGATTTTCTCAGTTAGTCATTTCTATAAATACCACTAGAACATATGTAAATTAGCATTCACGTCAAAAAAAAAGATGAACTAACCCGAGATAGCCAGCGTTTTTTTGTAGGTCTGGGCGCCTGGTGTGGTATTGGTTGCGTTGAACAGGCTACTGAAATGTCGTTAACAGACGCATGTGAGTCTTGTTTTGTGTCAACTATGTTTTTCTCCAAGATTTCGTTATGAATTTTCGTGAACAAAGAATGAATATCAACTGAACGAGACCTACTAAACTTAGCCATTGGATCCTTTTCTTGTGTTCGATAAACTATAAGACTGCAATCAGCCTCAGAGTCAAAAATATGTTGGTTATTACTGACCTGATTAGAGCATTCAGTAACACCATTAACGGATGAATTGTCAAAGCTAGATGCGGTATTTATCTTTGATGAGTTGGGAGATAAATGCTGTCGGCAGTTGTTTGGATTATGTTCAACACATATTTTTTCATTTCCAGATAATTCACTTTTAACACATATAGCTTCAAAAAGTGAGGCTCTGATATTCGAACTATCTTCATTAGCATTGTCAGAGGAAAATTGACTTGCTTCAGGTAAATTCGCTGAAGTGGGTTGTGATATCTCCTCATGATGATCTTCCAACTCGGCAATACGTCGGAGTTGCATTTTTAGCCAACGGTCTTCACGTGTGCCACCTTGATCAACTGTAGACGACAAACTATCAGATAACATAGCTGCCTGAGAACGTCGGCGCTTATATCTTGGTGGTGAAAATTTACGTCTACTGTTAACGGAGTGGCGAATTCGATACCTAGTTCGTGAAGTAGAGTTTTTTCCTTCAAAGTGTGCGTCTTTTCCCTTTAAAATACTTGTCTTAGTACAAGCGTTGGAGGGTGACATACATTCATGCTCTTCATTCACCTGCACCGATGAAGTTAGTGGAGGATTTGTTTTACTACTGGGTAGTTCGAACTTCTCGAAAGTTGTTGTCGCGCGTCCCACACATTCTGTTTGGCATTCACCAGTTGTTACAACTCCGTTATTTTCAGAGCATCTGGTTATTTCTGGATTTATTTCAGATTCACATTCAGCTTCATTAGTATTGGAGGATATATTCATGGTTTCATTTATAATACCAATGTTACTATTACTATTATTGCTCTCATTTGAAAAGAAAGCAGGTTCATACTGCTTATCAGGAGAGGGCAACTCAAAGTGACCCTTACTACATTCAGGGTCCTGATTACTTTTTAGAGTATTAGACGGTAAACGTTGTTTTAATCGTTTCTTTTCCATACGTTCTATGCGACGTAGCACTTCTGCCATCCACACATCTTCCTTTGCTTTCTAAAGAAAATAAACAAGGTGATTAAAATTCTAACTACAATAGAATTACCAGGAAAATCGTTTAAAAATATATATAGAATTCGATTGGTCTCACTGAATAACGCATTACAATTTCAGGTAATGGATTCTTGGTTTCAGTTATGCACTGCCTATTTCTGCCTATGGAAGCAAGTAATATGATAACCCTTCGCACGATAAGTATAATGTACAGCTTAGTATATAAACCCATACCTGGTTGAGTCGCACTGTTTATTTATTTAGAGAAAGTTCAAAACAGCTGTTGTGCAACCAAACTAACGACATTACTAATAATGACAATAAAGATATCTTTAATAAAAATTCCAGTGCGATTGTCGGTCGGTCTTCTGATTCTAACCCTATCATTCAACCAAGAACCAAAGAATTAACTCGATTGCTAAGTTAAAGACAGACATTCCATTCTTTTTAAAAGATACCTTATGGCTTCAGTAACAGAATTGACGACCTCAACAGTATGCAGATTGACAACTGTAGAAGATGCTTACACTGATGAGCAGAGGAAATAAGAAAGCAGTATAGTTCTCCAACAGCTATTCTGATTCACTCTGTATACGTTCACTACCGAGTCACCTTATGAAGCAATTCATAAAGCTTCGATTACTCAAACCTCTCGAAAAGTAAAAGCCATATTTTATCTACAATATAGATTTGATTTTTGGAGAGAGTATATTAGATTGGAATAAAGGCAGTGTTTATGAAAGGCATATACATCTATATGACTGTACCACTAGAAGATCATTTATAGTCACCGTAAGAGGTGTCGACTCCAAATATATTTTAGATAAGGTTATTTAAATAGCTCACTTTCCCTGATTGTACTGAATATATTACTATTCACGATAACATAAACCACACAGTTTGTAACAGATATGTTTACTATGACGTTAAAAAAATGGACTTCATGAATCTTGGCTTCTGATTACGAACACGTATTACATAGAACATGTTGACAACTAGGAATAAAAAGGGCTCAGTCCCTTAGATTACTTGACTAACATAGGAAAGGTGGACTTAGGTAGTTTTACTGAAAATCCATTAAAAATTAACTGTCACAATTGGTAATATGCTGTTGTTTGCATTACTTTGTAGTTGACTGGATCGAATTGACCATTTTCTAATGGCATAACAACTCATGCACAGATGCCTGGATACTGTTTATTTCAGTTTTATGTTAACGATGGATAGTGGCGAGTGGTGGGTTCCACGAGGCGTTCTATTTGGGACTCGTCAGTTAGGTGTACCTAGAAACTACACTGGTCACCCAAGAGGTGGCTGTCATGACACGATGGCCTAGCGAATACCGCTCTGGTGTTTAGAGCCATCGGTCCCGGGTCTGAATCTTACTGAGAAAAACACCACCCACTGTGAGACAGGTACATTCACCTGACGAGTCCCAAACAGGATGAAACGAGCGTCCTGGATTTCACTGCTAGCCAACATGCATCATTGATAAAATAACTGGTAGTAATTCTAAAAACATATTTAAAATAAACTACGATACGTCTGAACATTCGATAAATTGCATTCTTGAGTGAAGGTGAATCACTAGTAACATGGGGAAAAAGAAAAGCCAGGAAACAGTAGAATTAGGTTAAATCAAAGGTGTCTTTGAATTCTTAAGAAAATGGTGTGATAAATGCATAGTATATTAACTAACCACATCTTCCTTTTCTTCACAGGATTTGGTCCTTTTACGTGATAGAACTTCTTGTTTATTTGAGTTGGTGACAAGAGAACGACGTTTCTTATGATCGATGCTTGACAATGAGTCAACCTGAGGAAAAGAAACCGTAGTAATATATATATATATGCATACGTGGATCAAAACATAAAATGCTACCAATAACAATGCAGATGACCGTCAGTTTTGAGTGATAAATAAACAAACATCCACATACCGATAGGGGGGTCCAATAACACAACACCAGGTATCACTGGAAACTATGCCGATTTAGAATAACAATGGGTACTTTATTGTCGAGTTTACAACGTTTTATAACTTCATTCTAAAGAAGCAGTACTATAACACTCATTAAAATCCTAGTGTTTTGTAGCATTTGACCTAGGGATCAACTAATCACTTTCTGGTCTTTTGTTATACCTCAAATTATTAGGAGAGGGCTATGAGGAAGACTGTATTACAGTCATGGACCAAAAACAGTCTGTAGCATCACTGTAAGTCTGCTAGTTTACTTACTGTTTACGCCCAGATTTCATAAATCTTCGCAAGTGAAAGACACAGGCGAAAGATTTATATGTACCTGAGCACGACAGACTACAGGTGAACAGAACAAGTATTAGTTGTAAAGAGAATATTGGGAAGCTTCATAAGTGCTACATTACAAACCAATTAAAAATTAAGAAAGCCAAAACAGTTCACTTACAGATCCGCCCATATCGACAGAATCTCTATGAGCTTCTTCTTTAAGGTGCTCCAAATTGGGTGACTTGGAAGAATCATCTGAGATAGGTACTACTTCCTTCACTGTCTTAGAACTATGGAATTCCTGACGGGAGCTGGACTCAGTACATATTTGATTTTCTGATATATCTATGCGATTTTCTGTTTCATACTCTGGTTCGGTATCGGCATCCAAATCCTCTTCTATCAATGGGTGGCACAATTTTGAATCTTCTTTGCTATGTAGAATTTGCGGCTGATCGCCTTTGCTGGATGATTCCGTTGGCAAGTTAGTTGTCTTAATAGACGATAGTGAGTCCACTTTACTTGCACACTCTCCTTCAGAAGAACTGCTACTATCATTGAATGAATCAATATTTGTATCTGTTCTCTCAGGTGATGTTGGGAATTGTTCCTTATGTAAACTAAGTGGAGTATGCAGAGAACGACGTTTCCTGGTAGTCGTCAGAGACTTCTTAGGATCAGACCTACTGCGGCAAACTATTTTGGAAGGTAACTGCTCCACTTCATGCTTACTGCGTAACCCCATAGAGCAAGGATTCTTTGATTTACCTCGTCCACGGCCTCTCCGACGAATAGGCTTACGAATCCCATTAGACATAATTGAATTCCTCATATAACCACGGACAGATAAATGGGATGACACTTGACTTAATCCACGATTCCGCCTGCATAAAAAAGAATTTAGCTATTTAACACTTCATCCAAAAAGGAAACAAAACCTATTGGAAACTTTTAACAGCAATAGTTATGAAATCCGAACCATTGCTTCGACAGCTAGCAAGATAACATGCGGTCAACGGACAATTCGCCCGAAATGTAGGCAATCTGTTTTCATTAGTGCATCCACGGATAACTTGCACAAAAAATTTCAGAAAACCTGTGACTAGTAAACTTTTAAACGATGCTAATATTACAACATTACACCAACCACAAAAAATATTTTGCGCTGAAGTCAGTTATTAATCATACAACTGTTCTACGAGTCTTGCATCTAAAATAGCAGGAAAGCGAGTGAAACGTTTTAAGAGATTAGAAGGAATAAAGTTTGAAGAACTCAACGAGACATCCTGCGGTACTAACCCGTGAATAAAACATCTTATACTACAATGACCAGGCAGAAAAATCAAAGTGGAACCTTGCTTCAGTGATAGTGACAGCAGTAGTGCAACTCAATGCAATACAGGTGAACCAAGCTATGGGCTACGCACTTGCGTGAAAGCTTGTGATAACCAATTGCTCAAACCATAGTATGTGTTGTGGGGTTCGAACCCGGGGCTCCAAAAAGTGCCTCTGTTCAAGTTGTTATTCTTCACAATAGAGAATAACGTGAGCAGAACGAGAGTGGTGTTAGGGGAAACAAGTCTAGAAAATGACCAATCGAATGAGGGTGAAATGAGACGATAAAATTTTTCGAGTATTGAATAAACCTATCGCTGTCGAGGAGCCTCATACTAGGACGAAACAGCCGCCTAATGCCCCTAGGTTTCAAATGTTTCGACAATTGATGTCAGTTTGTGATGTATACTACCCTGAAATCTATGTCACTTCGACCGGTTTCGAACCATATGACCATAGGTTTTCAGTACGGCACCCCCCCCCCCACAACGGGGCAACTGATATTGTTCTGACCAAAATCTAAGAACACTCATAGGTTGACGTTATTTTTCAGTATAGTCACCCTCTGCTTCCTACTAACCCAGTTCCAGACGGGTTTATTTGATATAACACACAGTTATGTATCAAACAGATTAATCTATTAAGGAATCTACCAATCTACCACACTCCCCAAATTTCCCATACTTACACTAATTTTACTTTAACTAACGTTCTGCGCTAAAGTTTGCTGTGTCTCGGTAAGTTCTACATTCGTTTATCTGTCTGCCTGTTTGGCAGGCGTAACGCATATCCAATTCACCTCAATAAGGGACCTGCAACTTCATCAAACAACTTGCGCCGTTACCTAATGGTCTACACCTGGTCCATGCCTGTGTGATTGTTTTGGAACTCTGCGGATTTCAGTAAGTAACTCTTAACTTCAGCAACTTCACAATTTAGTGTTATTCAGATAACCAAATGAGTATGCTAGTCAGTCTGAAGGAGTATATTATCCAACCCCAAAAAGGTCAAAACATTACAATGGTTCATTTCTGACATGTTAATAGTTCTGGAAAACTGATCTGCATTATGAAAGGATGACAGAACACTGTTGGCTTGGTGCTCTAGATTGTTTACCAAGTTATAAACCGACATTCCTGGACACATTTTATAAACTAGCATTTTAATTACTTCTCGGTAACTGTTGGAAAGTCCCAGATCTGCATAAAACATCGCTTATTAATCTAAATATTCTTAAATTGTCGTTTTCGAGCCATTTCTTATGACAAGGCCAGTACTTCATTTTTGCCCACATTTCAAAAGGACTTCGCTGGTTGACTGATGCTTACTTTTACCATGTTAATGTTCCAAATTTTGGACAAGGTCATATGTCATGTAGATTTATACACGAAGGAATAAATCCTCACATTCAGTCGGCTTTTTTATTTCGTCCGGGTTGGAGTCGGTGGATCCTGCGTACGAAGTTAGCTATCAGTTACTATGAGTATTATATTCTCTCCGATTACATAGCAGTAACTTTGTCTACCATTCTAAACTACTTCACTATTTATTTATGTAATAAGCTGAATACCCTTAACAGTGAAATGCGATAGACAACGCTACACAACTGCCCAGTTTGGTTACTGCAGTGGGCCAGTTTATAGTTGAAAATGAAGCATCCGAACTATTAAGGATAAATTTGAATCGGGTCCACAGGTGAACACCTGAAAATGCTTGAATACCAGTACATCTACCCTAAATAATGTGGAAAACTAAGCGATATCGTTCTAATCGCCAAAACGGAAAATATAATTGAGGTATCTAATCATAGGTTACATGCCAGATGATATCTTACTACAGATGGTTCTCAACACTGAAAAAGCGAATGTTGACACTAAAGAACGCAAACTTGAATATCCCCATTGAATAGAAAAGACTAGTGAACAATTTTTTCCGAAGGTATCCTAGGTGTTTACCTACAAGCCCGACACATATTTGTGATAGTTCAGTTGATGATACCTCGGAGGACTTACTAGCAACCACTGTTATCGACGGAAACAAATCCGTTCAATGAAGTTTTTTTAAGAACGCATATCGAATTTCGAAGCCAATGCCGGAGGGTTAGGAAAACTCTTCGATAAGAATAAAGTAAAACTCAACTAATTAGATTCAGTGTATAAGTCATCCCAGTCATCACCATATACACTGCAGGTTTGAGAAAAAAACATCGTCACCATCAGTAAGAAAAACCATTTTATACCAAAATGGAGTTTTTTTAGAAATGACCAAACCTAATTTGAGATATACAACATTTGAAATACCTCATCGTACTAAACTTCGATTGCACACATTGTAGATGGGAGTGATTTATTATCAATATGTTTGTAATGAATATTTACACAACGAAATTATTTCGAGCAGAATTACTGCCCACGATCACACCAACTGTTGAAATAATTTATGCAGATGGGAGCTTATGAGTAGAATATATTGATCAATTTTTTGGTAACAATATTTACCTTTCAAAACCCCTGTAATGTAAAGCATCTAGTACCTGGATTTGAACGTCGTATGTGTTCATGTTTGCATTCAATTAAGATAAACGCGGACACAAAATGTAGCCCTACTGAGGATAAAAGCATCACAGACAAACAACGATAGATTGATCCTCTTCGAACAAGATATTACAGGAATAAGTAGACGTCAAGTGTGATTTTAGTTCAATGAATATTCGATGAAAATAAGTGTGCAAAAAGAAAATAATAGGCTGTAGAACCAATTACATTTCAATGTGTACTTTCGAGTCAGTACCGCTACATAACACGTGACCAAAACGAGTTACTGCAAATAAATAAACATGCGTAAGAAGCTCCTATTCCTCCTGGTGCCGCCAAAAACTACATATAATTTCTTATTTGGAGTCCAACACGTTTTGCAAACGTAATCGAACTAAGGTTCCCGAGGAAAAGTGGCTTTCAAGTACACTAAAACAGGATATGGTAAGACAAAGGAATAAAGTAGATGGGGTACGTAATTCAAATGTATATAGGTGTTTTTGTATGGTTGAAAGGGCTGTATGAAAAAAAGGGAAGACCACATGACATAGAACCCACGAAAGTACAGAAGTTCAATTTGCAGCAATTCATAGCATTACTGAAAAAACAAAAACAAAAAAGAGATCAAATACAAGACAGGGGAGAAACAGTAAACGAAGATGAGTAGTAAGTTTAGGATTTTAATGATGAAGAGTGGAAGCATTCTAGCCACTGTTATCGACCCCACGCTATACTGTATGGAGCTTCTAACTCTCGATTTCTAATACCTAAAAACTTAGACAGCATATTGTAATAGACACACCCGTGTGAATCAGAAGTAGTGATAAAAATGAATCAGACAATATTCAAATAGTTTTAACCTAACCGAATCAAACATGCAGCGGTTCTATTAAACTCAGTAATAAAAGATACTTACTCATTTGGCATATATGTTGGAGGAAGACGACTCGTCCGAACGATGGAATTTTTCCTGCTGGTAGTCATAGAAGACTTGAAATACGAATCTGACCTTTCCTCAATAGGTACTTTTTCGCCATAATCCAACGGGGGACTGCGGGATAGACTAAGATGGTCATTAATTCCATAGGGTCGGGGAGAATGCGGTGATTTACGAGTACATACTAAGGGATGACGAGTTGGACTTCGCACAGAATTACTTAACTGATTCATTCTTTGAAACCAACGAGTAACTGGACAACCTTTAAGAACGCATGCACATTTGACAGGGTATCTGCAAGCAGTGTAATCAAAATCAAATGGTAGCGTTATTTCAGATGATTTCGGAATAAGCCGTGATGCAATAACAACGAGACGAAGTTGAGGAACCGGGCCATTATGTGGATCATTTGAAAATGAGATACAATGTCGAACCTAAAAGTAAAACATGAAGTAGTTTTCAGATGAATCACGAGACGAGGTAAATTTCCACTAGAAGCAGAAGTGAATAATTGAATTTCGCCACAAAAGATAAAACGAAGTCTCACACCAAAGGCAACAAGCATATTATAAAACAAGGGTAACATGATGTCGTGCTGAAAAACCATACGATACTGATATGTGAAGGAAACTGTTCAACAGAACGCAATCTTCTAGCGACAACTATGGGGGAATTAGTTTGACTAACATCGCGACCAAAAACCTATGGTCCATAGTTATCCGATGCCTAACTAGAGCTTGAGAACAGCAAACTCCAGAAAGCCAGGCAGGTTTCAGACCCGGACGAGGGTGCATCGATCAGATTTTATCCTCCGACCGGTTCTGAACACAGATACACCTATTGGAGACCGACAGTTGCAATATTTCTCGACCCGATGGCGGTATTTGATGTTGTCGACTGTGAAAGGAGAACTGAACAAGAATACAACGTCAATCAAAGCTTTCTACTCGAACTCACGTGGCCGTGTTAGCGTTTATGGAGAGTTGTTTTCAGAGTTGATGACAACCAGTGGTATCCACCAGGGATACCCGCTCTCACTGTGGCTATTTAACTTCGTTATAGATATACTAATGGACATAACCCGAGGTACGTCTGACTTCACTAGGACTGACCTAGAGACCATCCGGTGGACTTGGAGTATCCAGATGATAATGTTTTGATGGGTGGAAACGATTACAAAATCCAGGAACTTCTGAACGCATTGATGAGACATCTGACCATGTTTGGCATACGTTTCAAACTTGTCAAATGTAAGACCATACATCAGGACCGGTCTGAAATCACTTCCAGTTTGATGATAGAGAGTGAAGTGGTAAAAAGTCTCCACTACTTCATTTCCTTAAGGAGTTGCATCAGCTCGATCGAACTGGTTACTGACGGGTACAGAAGGTCTGTTTGGCATTTTTCAACGTGTGTCATTTGTGAAACCGACTGGTGAGATATCCGACTATCTATCAAAGGACGAGTATTCTGGATTGTAGTCCGTTCTGTCCTAGTATACGACTGAGACATGACCGTTAAAAGTGGAACGTATGAAGCGACTAAAATGTTTTGATCATAGGTGTCTTTGCAGCATCGTTGCGTTTGGTGGGGCCACCTTGTGAGTAATGTTGAGATCAGGTGAAGAGTACTAAGCAAGACAGGTAAGTCAATTGATGAGATTGTGAACTTCAGTCGATCGAGGTTGGTTGGACATACACTGCGCATGTCAAGCCACTGCCCAACACACTAAGATGTGGCACTAGTCGCTGAAGTCTCTGACTGTTGGTCTGAGCAGTGTAAGGCAGATATAGACTACCTGGCTGGCTGGACCTCCAAGACCATAGGTATCAGTGGTTGAGGAATCTTGGTGACGTGGCTGAAAATCGGTCACAATGTTGCAGACGTATTCACTCCTTTCCATTTTCTAAAGCTTGGATATTTGCACTAACTATTATCTTCTTATTGCTTATCATCTCACACAACTTTATCTACTTTGATATGTCTTTTTCTATTTATCTGTTTTTTATATATTACCGTGAAGTGTGGCAACTTGAACCGATGCAATTGTGCGGAAGGTTCTAAGTTGATTTTGTCTGTCATTGATAAACACTACCCTATCGATACCTTACTGTCTACACAGAAGACAGAGAAACCATAGGACTCTCAGTCCAGATATGAGTCACATCTATGATTACTTTACCCATACTTAACTATCAAGTTTTTGATCCTGCAGTTATACCACACAATTATTTTTCAAAAGCACTCGAGTATAGGCCTTACAGTAATTTGTTATTTACTGAATTCATACCTCATAGTGGTAAGCTAGAACATGGACAGCTGTATTGTACTTAAGGTTCGTCGCATGTCACATGCAGTATTGGATGAGTCAACGGAAGTTATAGACACCTTTAATATTTAATATTGTTCAGTGGAGTTGGTGTATCTGCTTAGACAAGCCAAAAATTATGTGGCTAATTATTTATCTTTTGGTAACAATCCAACAGTGGGTGCAGACTACTTCTGAAGCAGCCTTTGATAAACCATACTGTCGTTACAGGTACTTTGTAGGCATTTTTCACTAAACAGGGTGATGTCATATGCATGCTCTAAGTTGGTTTAAATATCTTTGGGTATCATCACTGTTTCTAAAAAAACTCCAGTAACTGCATAATCTGTGACTACAATCATATGAAACTCACTTCACTTGTTTTAATCAAGTTTGTTTAAAGAAATCGTGACTTCTGCTTTAGAGCTTGAAAATACCTAGACCTATTAATTCACAGAAATCTGTCATCGAACCTCCAGACATGCATAGAGTGGACTTTACAACCAAGCGAATAACTAAGCTTAAATTTCGCATGCTCGCCTACGGAACGTACAACACATCTGTAATCTGAAATCCTAGAGTTTTGACCGCGAGCAGTATACACGATGCGTGACTATTGTGATAAGGTGGACCCAAGTGTTGGCTTTTTAAACCTTTTGGAAGGTTACATAGTGTCACAAAACTAATTATTGCAGACAAAACATCGGTATCTTTCAGAAAAAACTAGATATCTTCTACTGAAACTGTGCTAAACACCATCTAAACAAGTGAACACTGGGTGATGATTCAAGGTGAAATGGAAATTCAGGCAGCGGCAGGATTAGCATCAGTGACCAACGGGTTTCCCGAGTCGGTGCTCTAATAACTGAGCTACGAGACCCAAATTTTTATTTTACCTTCATTCACTGCCCGGTATCAAAACCAGTCTGCCAAATCATGGTTATCTCACTCAAAGAGTCAAAATTATAAGCGAAAAAAGCGGCGCCTATGTTATGAACCGGGAACTATGCTGCTATGATATTACTGTCAGGTACGTCAACTGGTTCTTTGTCCCAGTTACCCATTATTGAAAACTTATTATGTACTTGGCCAATTAATCAACAATAAACTATGTATAGCGTTTCCAAAAGAAAACGCAAATTTTTAGTCTGATAATTTTATTCGTTATACTACCGCTGAATTTTAAAAAATTTACGCAGGTTTCATGAGACGTAATCGGTTTTCTTAGCACTATTATTCTTAACTGAGTGATTAGATTTTTGGTTGGATAGATTGATTTATCCACTATTTGAGGCAACAGATGAACTATTATACATTCTTTTCACAACAGACGACTCTTGAGAAAAAGTATTAATTCGGGCATGTCTAATCATAAATCGAACTTGCGATTAATTATGCTGTGCACACTAGCAAACGTAGCCGGAAAATCCACGTAAACAACTTAAGAATGTACAGACTAATTTCATAACTACAGTTACTATAAATAAACATTAAACCTGACTGAAAAATAGCTTAGTTTAAAAAAGATTATTTTACCTCAGAATTCGGTGTGCATGACCGACGAATAAAGCGAGCTTCATTCCCATATTTACGGGCATCAACACAGAGAGGCAACTTAGGCAACGACTTGTAAAACAAGACGAATGGATTGTAGCTAGAAGAAAACTGTAAAGCAAAATGTAGCTACTTACTGTTTACGATAATCATACATATCATTGTATTCACTCATAAGTAGACAATTACCCCGGTATTCGATGATTGGTGTACGAGGACGAATATCTTCACTTGCTATTAGTCCCTAGAAAATGAATTCACTTTTAGTCAAATATCAACAGTTAAATTATGCTATCCAACCAAATTATAAAAAACAAGCATAGAGAATCTATCACATATTTCTTACCCTGTGGTTAAAGTCAAATGTGACAACCTGATAACGAAATAAGCTCTCAAAATTCGAAGGAATTTCTTCTTTTGAAATACCGTCCACATCCCGGAAATCTGCTGCCATGCCAGCCAACAGAGGGAACATCAGATCAAGCTTTTTACAAAGACGATTTGAAAGATGTAAAGTAGAGGCTTCTTCATACACGTCTGATGATGGAGACATAATAGAGTCGGGAGGTGTCGAACACAAAGAGGTATGTCGATTATCACTTATTTCAGCATATGTATTATGAAGTTTATTAATCGAGCAATCTGAAATTAGACGGTGAACAACGCTGTTATGACGAATATGTACTCTGTTATCAGGCCCAGAGATTGGATGATTTCCCTGTGTTTGGTATACAGAATCTGATGAAATATCCCTGAAACAACTCTTCATATCCATAGTGTAGGACTTCCGGACACCAGAAAGGTCATCGTATTCATCCGAAGCCGGAGGTGAACTGGAAAACCCTTCTAGACCTGCATTTGCGGAGGATGATCCACTAGTGACTATAAGAGGAAGAGATAAGACATAGGAATTTAGCTAAATATAGAATGACTGACCAGAATAAAATCAATAACACCTAGAAAAAACTCGGATATTGCAATGCATGCATTAACACAACCATACAATAGGCTGGGTGGGATAAAACCACTGTATTTAAGTCTAATATAATTAGGTGGAGAAAGGGATTGATTACTGAATCTTCGTTCATCGAATCAACCTTCACCCAAAACATGTAATAGAAATGACTCAACACCTATACCAGAGATATGGAAAATTTTACTACCAACAAAAACGAATATCAGGTCATAGGACTATAAAAATCAGATGTCGAAAGTAGCGTGATTACATTGATATGATTATGAGTAATGATTTATGCTCGAAACGTCATCAGGTAAATAATACTGTATCAGTTATAAATCAGATAAACAAATCTCATATGGAACAATGACAAAGAGGCTAGATGAAAGTGAGCAGCAAAGCAAACCGGCTTTGGTTATCACATCCATTCAGTTGGTATCAACATTTGGAGATACCCACTTGTCTAAATTACATTACTGATGTATTGTATTGATGTATTCAACAACAGTGATGTAGAACTTAATACAATGAAGCTAAAGATTTTCAGTGTTTAATGAGAACGATTTTTTAGGCAAGCACAAATAAATGTCCGATTGAAACGTATTACTTGTCACAATAAAAAAAATATCCCAAAAGTAATACATAGATGCACATGAAAGTTGGAGTAGCGAACACTGATCGACCTTGCAGTATACAATAGACAGTAATCACATTTCTTGGTAGAGAAACTGGAAGTGACTACTTGGATTTTGTTTAAGAAGTAAACTGGTTTAGTGGCAGGCAGCTCAAAACATAATACACACATGCAAAGGTACAAGCAATGATACACAGCAATCCGCAAAGATAAAAATGGACGGTAAAAGAGAAAGTGAGCTCTAGAGAAAGATGAACTGCCAAACCGAAACGCACGTAATAACAATTATGTGGTTCATTATTTTTCTTACAGAAAACTGTTTTATGGGTTCTTGTACTTACAGTAATATAATAACCATATAATTCATACAGATGCCAGGAATGCATGATCATATTGTTTAGTTTAGGTCTGACTTCTAAATCCGTCCGTGGACTTTTTCTTTATAAGAACCACTTCAGGAACCTGATTGTAGAATATAGAACGCATACTAGACCTTTTACTTGAAGTTAGTTGCTCTTGTCACGCAGTGAAGCATACGCTTTACCTGGTACTCTAAACCTAAAATTTCTTGACTTCATAGTCTCCTAATGTGGGTTGTCTGGAAGACAATCATTTCAAGTCCACGGTAGTCGTAACTGAAACTATACAGTAATAATCACTGCACAACCTAACCTTCAGCTAGTGGACTGGTCTACAACTTGTTAACTTGGTAATAAAAACGTCAGTTAATACTACCACATGTCTGTCCACAAACAAAAGGCTGAGTAAAAATACAGATAGAGAACATGTAACTAAATGTCGCATCACATTGAATGGGTATTTTTTGCAAGAGCAAAACGTCCCAGGACTTCATGCATGCCTTTTGGAATAAGCTGCTTTCTACCAACCGTCTATAATGGAGATTAAAGACAAAGTAACTTACTCTTGCTCATAATAGCACAGTTTTTGCCCTGAACTTTAACCCCTAGACGGCCGAGAAAAAGTGCTCCGAAAATTGCAGGGAACGATCATGGCTGGGAGGGGAGTTCCAATGAGTACTACATAGATCGCTTTGCACCTACTAACCATCCCACGGTTAAGGCGAAAACCTGAACCACGATTACGTGAGTGCCCGATCATTTGACAGCCTTAAAGCATGCGTACGTCTGCTTAAGGATGTGAACTGGGTGTACGACTGGACGGTTTAGACACCTGAACTTCAACAAATAGGTCATGAGTTGGAAGTACGCCTAACCCCCTAAAGTGTGAGGAGTCAGATAGTAATGAAAACACTTGCGCCAATAAAACTTATTTACGTGCAATTGCTGAGTTAACTATTTCATCATAAGGTGTGAGTCAGATAGTCGTTTCACTTTTCCTTTCGTAGGAAACGTCTGAACAGAGACCGATCTCAATCAATAGCCAACTTTGAAAATACAAAGGAAAGAAAGTGCAAAAAACATTTTCTTACGTGTCAGTAGATCTTGTTTTCTTTTAGAACTTCGAACGGACTGTCCACATTGCGCATAGTTTGCTGGACGAACTGAAGTGGAAGAGTTCACTGTTGAGACCATGGCGGAGCGATTTGAGGTCATCCTGAAATCCCCATAGTTAATATTAGTCAGCCCTTGACTTGCCGGAAGACAAACGTGAACCTGACGAGGTGCTCCACTTCCTAGTGGGGTCGTGATGTATATACGTCCCGGTGATGCACTTGTTCCAAGTGACGTTCGAGAGATCCGTATGCTTTGATTTGTTGCTGGTCCAACACTGCCATAAGCAGCCAATTTGGGATGCTGAATTGTAATAGTCTTCGGTTGTGACTGGCATATTTCACAAACGTATGGAGTTGATAAATGACCCTTGTTAACTGAGGAGATACACTCACTATGATGCCAAATCCTGAAAAATAAATAGTCAAGTTTTGAAAACACTGACGAAACGACCTCACATATACTAGCGAACAAGACTCACCTGCACTGATTACACTGGATGAGATAACCATCTAGATTTGTGTTCCCACAAATGCATCTAACGGAATCAGCGGTATCATTTGACACTTGACGTGGAACAGTTGTAGAGATCTGAAGAGCAGGTAAACTTGTCCTCAAGACGACGTGTGGAGTGAGCGAAGAACTAACTCGGTGAATTTGTAAAGGAGAATTCATATTTCCACCGGAATTTGAGAATAAAATTGTCCGATTTCCCATAGAAACTTGACTAGCTGTAGTAACTAGCGACTGACCATTGGCTGAAACTGGGTGGTGTTCAGAGTTACATACAACTGAGCGTTTGGTGGAAGAGAATGACGGATTTAACTCAATCAAACTCAAGGATTTACTAGATGATACAACTGCAGCGTTCTCTTCACCAACCCAGCTAGACTGTAAGTTGGAGCAATGCTGACTAGTAATCTGTCCATCCAAGCTATCTGCACTATCATCCTTGGCTAGAGCCAATTTCGCTAACAGAGAGAGTCGATCGTCAGATTCCGTAGGTTTACCCAGTTTCGGATCCGGTTCATAGGATGCGTAGTTATGGTCCTAAAACTGAATTATGGAATTACGGAAAACTCACATTATAAGGAAGACCCCAACAACTATCCGACTCGCCATACGTAACGGCATGAAAAGGATACTCATCCGGATCAGAATCAGAAGAGCTAAATCTATGAAGGAAAAAAATTACACACTCACTTTAGATATGAGAAACAAACAACACGTTTGTTCAGTTTTTGTGTGTCGTAAGGAGGATCTTCCAAACCTTCGTGAGTGATCACAACTGTTCGACCGATATCAGGTGGCTGACAAGAGTAGTCAATGTTCTCAATTGGAGAGTCCGGTGTATCCTCAATTATGGTATCCGATTCTGAGGAATCATTAAATGAACTGTTAGGTCGATTTAACGATAACAAGTTGATATTATTGTGTCGACGGGGATGGATGAGGGCATCCATCAAGTTTATATGCGATACCAAACCTAAAACAAAACACAAAAACCATATACAATTTTCTAACAATTTTTAAGTGTCACTTTGCCAATAGTAGTTGACTCATTTCTACACGGCACTTGAATTAAGAGGCGTTCTTTCACTTGTGCGAGAAAATTCAACCAGTTTTATCAGGATATGTAAAAGCCTGGAAATTACCTTCCTAAATTATGAACGCTGGAAAAAATCACATTTGAGCCCATGTTCATGTTTAGAAATAACACAGTGCTTGAGCTAAGCGGATACCAGTGACAATTACAAAATAACATTAATTCATTCTTGGAGCAATAAAACCTAACCAGGACAGAAGCAAAGGATACTCCACAAATTAAAATGGAACTTTAAAAATGCAGAACTAAGTGGTTATGACGGATAAGACAAAGGCATGTCATTCTGCACAGCATAAAAACGACTACACATATGAGAGCAAGCAACTTACCCAACATTTTTTATCACCCGAAACCATCCATATCACCATCCCAAACAAAGGGATCCATGCAAACGATTTTGCTGCCAATTTTTGTTTAGCAACGACTTAAACAACTGCCATTTAGGAGCAGATCCAGAAAACAGTGGAAGCAAATCTCATATATTTTTGAAGTTCTTATAGTTTTTTGACCGATTAAATTATGTTTATGGCACTTATCAGCGAGCAATCATTTGAGCAACAAATAACTGATCCTCAATCTCATACTAAAATGCCTGTCATGTGTGAATTAATATAGTGTTTTTAAGTCTTCCCTAAGTTCCCCACTTAAGAACGCCTCATGAGGAAGCCGGATTATCACACCTCAGCAGCTCACATAAAGAAATCTGATCGCATCATATATTTGTATAGTACTGTAGCGTTACACACTTCCCCAAAATCAATAGCCTAGGGTTTGACGACTTTCGACATTGATGCTGACCTTGATAGTTTAACTGGACTCGCTAAGCTGAAGGCACCGGTCAAGCATCCTCGCCATTTGGCACGCTGTCGTGTTACGTTGCATTGCTCGTATTCGACTCTCTAGCCAGTTAGTTGGAACGCATCGGTATTTTGGCATAACCATCCAAATATACTATTCCATCCGACTACGCTATCGTGTTCTTCCTTGGTCTCGTATTCGTGGGTATATAACAAGTTCGAATAATTAGTGATTGGTCTTTGCGTCTGTCAAGTTCGCACCAGGACAAATCCTAAATTGGTGAGCCCGACGTGATCACATATCCCGACCAATAACAAGTATTGAATTGGTGAGCCTGTTCCATTTTATATTTGTTTATTGTTTTCATTTCGATAACATTTATATATCCATTTACTACACTTTCTCATGTCCGACCACACTCCCAAGCTTATTCGTATTAAGCCGACTCGAACACGATCCAACTCGTGCCATATTGGCCAGACAATGCAGAAACATGGTTTCTGTATGCCGAGGCCGATTTTCGAGAACAGGGTGTCTCAGATCCTCATCTCGATTTCTTGCTGTCATACGTTCACTACCGCGAGAATTAAACAGGTTGTTACAGCAAACATGTTTAATCCTGAAGTAAGTGACCCTTATGCACTTCTAAAGGCCGCACTCTTGAAGAAAAGCGATCTCACAGATCGCCAACGTCTAGACGAATTGCTTCGTAACATCGAGCTAGGCAGCCACTCAGCTACTGAAGTCCTCGCACGCATGCGAGAAGTAATCGGTGCACGAACATTTGACGATGGTTTCTTCCGAGAACTATTTCTCTCGAAACTACCACAACCGGTGCAAACCGTGTTGGTGACACTCCAGTCAGTCCCACTCGACGACCTGGCAGCCTCAGCAGATAAAATACTGGAGATATCCAGCAGACCCGTCTCCAACGTATATTCTATCTGTGACAAACAGAGCGCCAGGATTCGAGGTGACCAAGTTGTGCAACTCTGTGAAACGGTTGCTACGATCTCGAAGTCCTAGATCACGTAGCACTTCACAGAAACGCACCTTGGCGCATCGCAGCAAGTCGCGTGGTAGCCCTAAAACGAAACCCAACAGGGTGGAAAACCCTGAATGGTGCTGGTTTCATAACACTTACGGGGATGAAGCCAGAAAATGTCGTAAACCATGCCGTTTTAAGAAGGACAAACTCGGGAAACGGTCACGCCGGCACGTGCTCACGGCAACCGTAGCCGGCGGAAAAAGCCGTTTGCTCTACGTCACCGACATTAAAACGAAAGTCCGCTACCTCGTCGACACCGGCGCAGAAGTTAGCGTTCTTCCAGCAACGACAAAGGAGCGTCATCTCGACCCATCCTTCAATCTTCAAGCAGCCAACGGCAAGGCAATCGCGACATTCGGGAGACGGTATGCCTACCTCAACTTAGGTTTACGCAAACCTATTCACTGGATTTCCTCCTGGCAGACGTCTCTATGCCCATCATTGGCATAGATTTGCTAAACCATTACGATCTACTCGTAGATGCTCGCCGTCGACGACTGATAGATAACACAAAGTTATCTATTGGCGGCACCACCTATGTAGGTCCGAGTTTAGCCATCGTTAGGACTAAACAATCAGGCGACGCGTCCTACCAGGCAGTTCTGGAGAAATATCCAGAGTTACAACAACCGAAACACACTCTTCCGTGCATAACCAGCAATGTTATGCATCACGTCACAACCACAGGTCCACCTGTGGCATCCAAAGCTCGCCGTTTAGCCCCCGATAAGCTCAAAACGGCGAAAAATGAATTCGACCACATGCTCGAACTGGGCATTATCAGACCGTCGAACAGTCCTTGGGCATCGCCATTGCACATGGTTCCCAAAAAGGATAGCAACGACTGGCGTCCGACCGGTGATTACCGAAGGCTTAACGCCAAAACAACTCCGGACTGCTACCCTATACCCACGTTTACGACTTGACCGCAACCTTATGCGGCATGAACATTTTCTCGAAAATCGACTTGGTCAAAGCGTACAACCAGATACCTATGGCAGCAGAAGATATCGCGAAAACAGCCATTATTACTCCTTTTGGCCTGTTTGAATTCCTGCGCATGCCTTTTGGTCTTCGGAATGCAGCACAAACATTCCAACGCTTTATGGACGACGTCTTCCGTGGTCTGAATTTTGTTCATGTCTACATCGATGACTGTCTAATTGCGAGTCCAGATAAGGAAACACACCTTAAACATTTGGACCTCGCATTCGAAAGACTCAAAAAACATGGCATCACAGTTAACTTACAGAAGTGTGAAATAGGAGTTGAATCACTCAGCTTCCTTGGGCATACCATTGACAACAAAGGTATACGCCCATTGAGAGATAAAGTGGCGGCTATCACAAACTATCCAGAGCCGACCACTGTGAAACATCTCCGCACTTTCAATGGCCTGGTAAGTTATTACCGAAGGTTTATCCCTAACTGTGCCTCTGTCATGAGACCACTCACAGATCTACTTCGAGGAACTGCGAAGTTCGTGTCTCTGGACAACGCGGCTAGACTTGCTTTCTCTAAAGTCAAGGAAGCCATTTCGAACGCAACCATGCTTATGCATCATGACCCCAATGCTCCTCTGAGTATTGCTGTTGATGCATCTGATTCAGCAATTGGAGCAGTTTTGCAACAGTTGACTGACAACCAGTGGCAACCGTTAGCCTTTTTCTCGAGGCGGCTGCAAGACGCGGAAACAAGATACAGTACATTTGGTAGGGAACTCCTAGCCATGTACTGTTCTGTACGCCATTTTCGACATTCTGTGGAAGGTCGTGATTTCATTATTTTCACAGACCACAAACCGTTAACGTTTTCCCTCAGCTCGGCGTCTGACAAATACTCCCCTCGTGAGTCGCGACAGCTGGATTACATTTCCCAGTTCACGTCAGACATCCGCCACATTTCTGGAGCAAACAACTCCGCAGCCGACGCACTATCTCGAATAGCTTCGATAAACTATATCGAGGGTATTGATCTCGTTGAACTAGCTCGGCGTCAAAAGGAAGACCTTGAGCTGCATCATGAGTTGTCGTCCACAACTCTCAAACTGCGACTTTGTCCTGTTGGATCAGACAAGGATGCAATTTTGTGCGATGTCTCTGCTAGTCAACCACGCCCAATAGTTCCGAAGAGTTGTCGACGCAACGTCTTCAATACGTTGCACAAACTCTCTCATCCAGGTGTACTTAGGCTTATCGCACAACGTTTCTGCTGGCCTGGGATGAACAAAGACGTTAAGGAGTGGGCCCAGTCGTGCTTAGCTTGTCAAAAGTGTAAAGTCACGCGACACACGAAAAGCCCTTTAGGCTCATTTCTAGCCCCAGACATGCGTTTCGACCACGTCCATATAGATATTGTAGGACCCCTACCAGAATCTAATGGATGTACCTACCTTTTCACTTGTGTTGATCGTTTCACACGATGGCCGGAAGCAGTACCCATTAAAGATATTACTGCCGAAACAGTTGCTCGTGTTTTCGTCGAAAGATGGATCGCGAACTTCGGATGTCCATCTTACGTCACAACCGACCGTGGGCGCCAATTTGAGTGTGGATTATTTCACGCTCTAACGGCACTTTTAGGTTGCACTCGGTTCCGAACGACAGCCTACCATCCACAAGCAAATGGCATGGTAGAGCGTTTCCATCGACAGCTGAAAGCTTCCCTTTCAGCTACAAACATACCTCAGTGGACCGAGGCTCTGCCTCTAGTCCTACTAGGTATTCGTAACGCGTTGAAAGTTGATGCTGGATGCACTCCTGCAGAACTCGTCTATGGGACCACTCTTCGCCTACCAGGTGAGTTTGTTTCCCCTTCAACTTTCAAACATGTTTCCGACAGGGCATCTTATGTGACTAGGCTTACAAACGCAATGCGTTCAGTTAGGCCTTCTCCGATTAGACCGCAAACGACTGATGTTTTCGTCCACCCCAGTTTACAGAAGACATCACACGTGTTTGTTCGCCACGACGCTGTTCGTCGACCACTTGAACCACCCTACGACGGGCCGTTCAAAGTGATTAAGCGACACGAGAAATTCTATATAATTGAGCGAGACGGACGTGAAGATACTGTCAGTATCGACCGTTTGAAACCAGCTTATTTCGAAGGCAACCCCTTCATAAGTGACGTTTCAGCTCACTGCAGCCTACCGATGGATAGCTCAATTATCGAAATTCTTGACGATGTGCCTGATAATGCACAGCTGTAACAATCAGCGGCGCAACAGAGAACACGATCAGGTCGAACCGTCAGGTTCCCGGAGTATTTGAAGTCGTATTCAACTTAGCGGTGTGAAATAAAATGTGACAACCATATTTTTTTTGCTCACAAATTTTTTTCCGAGGCACCATTTTTCTTATTTACCGGCAATGCGCAAACCCTCGGACACTTTGCCCTTTCATATCAATTTTTATTACCATGTAACGAAACTTTTTTTGAAAAAAAGGGTGAAAATGGGCGTAAATTTTTATTTTTCTATATGTTTGTA